AGATCTCGGTCGTGGGACCCAGGTTATACTGCTGGCGCAGCCCTCTAATGGACCTTGTGTTGATCAGATATTGTATATTTCTTATGGGCATCTAGTTGTGTATGACTATCAACCTGAGTGGAATACGGCTCTACTTTACAATGGACCGCGTAGATCTTGCAATGAAAACCGTCGATCTTATCTATTGTTGGACGGTCCGTAGGAGAAACCGACAAGCAATGGTGGACGAATTCCACATATCCCTCATGCACCTCCATTCCGCAACGAACTGGACTCACGCCATTGTGTCGCGCAGAAACCACGCGCAGAACATCGTCCAGCCACCAGTATGGTAACTTTCCGGAGAGCACCTCAACAGGCATCAGCTGGTGAAGTAAGAGTAATACATCAACTTAGCATACATGAAGCATGATGCACCCGAAAGAATAGATATCGATGTAACGGCTTAACTCGTTACCGAGCTCCTGCTCATTGCCGCTGATCAGTTCCGGGGCCGTCCAGCGCAAAGCACCACAATGATAGGACTGAAAAAGTTCGCCACACATGGATACGACTGAAGACAGGCCATAGTCTGCGAGACGGACGGTATGGCGATTATCAATGAGAACATTGTTCTAGAAGTTTAGCTGTTAGCGGGCTCCACTGGAATGACTTAGAATGGGCTAACGCTACTGAGATTGCCGTGAATTATGGTATTACTATGAACTGTTGATAAAATCGATGAGGTGTATTTTATTGGCGGGACATCTCCGTACTTACGAAAGCGGAGCCCAGCTGCGACATGAGATAGCTGGATGCGGGTAAGAAAAGCTTTTATTTTACGAACTGAGAAACGCACAAGCAAGAATTTCGCAGCGCTTGTGAGAGTTTGATTCATGGCACTTAGATAGCTGGTCAAGGATCCATTCTCCATCCAAGGCGATACCAAACAGGGAAGGCTAGAACCGAACCCAGTAGTAGTGCCGTAGATAGGCAGTAGATTTTCGTGGCGGAGAGATATCCAGCCCTGCACTTCCGCCAGGATGATCTGATAAGTCCAAGGATCAGCATTGAAAGTTTTTTCGGGATTTCCAAGGCTGACTTTCTGAGCCTCCTTAATGCTCCCTTTATCGTCATCTCGTACCTTGATGGACTTGACAGCGACCTGGACAAATATCAGTACTACAATATATATAAATTTGGTCGATTACCTTCTCATTTTTGAAAGCCTTGTTCCGCAAGATACACTGAAAAGTATTGCCAAGGCCCCCAGGAGGTATGGTAAAGTCTTGCACTATCTTCAGCGAACAGGTCGCAATAACAGCGCTAGGTTTCGAAAGGATACTGTAGGTCGTGCACGTGTGGGGGACACCGACAGAAAACCTACAAATGACCCGTAATTTCTTGTTCGATATTTGCGTCTCGTATTTTCATCTGTTTCAAAAAAATTTAGTCGTGTTTGTAGGGTACAAAATACATTTCTTACCGACTGTGCGCTGTTACGGCGGAAAAATTTCAAACTAAACTTGCGCGCAGAGCCTTTCCCTTTATCATGAATATCAGGTATGAAGCTGGACGACGTGGACGCTATGTATTGACCAGCATTAATAATGGGACTTGTCCCAGAAGCTTGTGTCAAATGAGATGTATTGACAGTAGTCTAAATGACTAGGAGTAAGCATTTCCATAGGAACTTGGACAGAGAGAATACATACTTTGTACTTGAAAGATGTCGTAGCTTCATCTCGATTAGAACATTCAGTCGATCGATTCATAGCCAACACTTTTTGATCTCCAGAATTGCGTTAGCCGACTGTCAAGGACACACTTTGATGAATACCTTTCGACTGCAATTCTGTTTTAAGAAACTTAAGAATGTCACATGTGGACGGTCGAGCACCAGGTTGTAAGAAACATCGTTGGATTAGTTGCCAGTGTTCATCTAAGACTGGTCCACAGGCAGGCCTCTGTTGTGTGTGTCCATCTGCCACTTTGACGATGATAGATCTCCAATGTTTGACATCAGCCCAGGGCTCAGTTCCCGAAAGGACCTATGATAACAAATTGTTGCTATTAGCACTTCGAGTAGCTACACACATATTGAAGTGACAAGTCATACTTTAAGTGCGAGACAGCCAAATGAGTAGACATCACTTCGAATGTCTGGTTGGATAGATGTGTCAGAGTCTGTCAAAACCAGAAGCTCGGGAGCGCTGTAGCGAATTGCTCCTGGTTGAGCACAAGACCGTTCAAGATATGAGAAGCCCGTGACATCCCCAAGCATGGATGACAAGCCAAAGTCTATGAGGACAGCCCTTTTGTCGTTGTTCAGGAGCACGTTGTTCTGCAAGTAAGTGATGAGATACTGACAAATCTCTCCAAGATGACCTGTCTTACTGGGGTTAAGTCGCCGTGAACCACTGGGATACCATGCACTGCATCAAAGATGAATGCGCGTATGAGCAAGACATAAACACCTGAGGCGTCGAATACACACGATAATGGAGACCCATTGTAACATCTTGAAGCTAATTATCAAACTATCGGTAAAATAGGTGGGTGTATTATCATGCAAAAATGCTCACTAGGCGGAGGCGATCAGACAGAACAATACCTTCATGTTTCTGGAGATAAGCTGCCAGTGAACCATTTTCGTACCAAGGCGAGACCATAGATATAGAAGGGCTAAAACCTCTGGCTATGCCTAGCAGCGGCGAGATATTCGTATGAACAAGTCTCTTCCATGTTCCAAGTTCACGTCGCAGCGCCTTAGAATCCGATAAGTGAAGAAGTCGGCAATGTGACGTTTCAGACTACCTTTTCCTGTGATGCATCGACCTCACCAGGTTGAAACCTGATCGCTTTGACTGCAACCTGGAAATATTTGAGATGTATGCTGATCGTCAATGCGAGCAATCGTACCACATCCTGCATTGCACCAGTTTGTAGCGTGCAGCGCCAGATGTCGCCAAACCCTCCTCCAGCTGAATAAAAAGGACTGGTACGTGTGATACGATCTGTGAGGTCGACAAGGTCGCTGGTCGACTGCTTGGACAGGTACATTAGTACCAGGGTAGGAGATTTGATGAGTGTGGGGGTCGAAAGGTCCAGCGCCAAGATACACACCAAACCTGATTCTATAATTCGCATAGGGCAGTTTAAATAGATGTAACACACCTCGTGTTCGCAGGCTGGATTACGAATCTCGAAGAGAGTTATCATACCTGGTATTGCCACGGCTTTCTCAATATTTATGGTTTCACAGACCTGTCCTGCTAGCCGTGCCTGCGTTAGTACGCCCCACTTTGCCACTGTTATTGCCCACTAACGGAAAGAGTGAAAAAACGGAGAGGAAACCGAATTCCACCAAAAAGATGTTCATAGGTTTGGTAATTCAAGGATAACATAACTTGGATTTAGAATTCGCTAGCAGAGTTGCGTAGACGCTATGCTACAAGGATCAGTCATTTGACTCATTTAATACCTGCCACGGATGCTCGAGTGGCGTAGCCACAGAAAATCCTCAATGTCGATGATCACAAATCTAACTAGCCAGGGCCCCAGTGGAAGATGAAGATGGATTCGAGCCCTTGCTAAGTTAAATTTTTAGAGATAGCTGACACTGAATTCTATACTCCGCGAAGCAGAAGACAAAGTAGCTTGCAATGTTTTCGTGTGCCAGTGGGGCCCCACGCTGACTTAATGTAACAATCTTCCACAGCAGTTCCGAACTGAGAATTGAAGGGGGAAAAGTTATCCTGATCAAACGAATTTAGGCAATAAGCCAAACATCAACAATCAATCTTATCTCTAATGAGTCCATCGCGTCTGGACTCTGCCAGTGCTACCAAATCTTCCGGGGTCTGGAGGAGTCTCTTGCGACGAAGTTCCAGAACTTCAAATGTCGCTGTCCCGCGTTCTTTTACTATGTGCTTGGAACAGTTTGCTAACAAGTCTTAGGACCAAATTTCAAAGGAAGAAGAAGGATCATGTGTAAGTTACTGCCTTCTCGATCTCATAGATCACTTAATATCGCCAAGAAATACTTTTCCGATGCACGACCTCACTTCGAAGATTCGGAGATTAAGATGGATTAGCGGAACTTCATCTGCAAATGTGTACGAGGCTGTATATTCTACCGCCACAACCTCTAAACAGGTCTGTGGTGGACGTTCTACCCCGTCTAGTATGTCCTAATAAAAACAGGTCGCTGTGAAGTCGTTGAGGATAGAGAATTTTGGAAACATGGGGTCCAAAGGCCAGGTTTGTAATGTTTCGAGGTGATTTCATAGATCATTCACGTTAATACTATATTTCTAGGAGTTATTAATCCGAGCTACTACCTGGATGGTTTTGCAACACGATAATATTCTTACTCCAATAGGATTTGCTGATGGATTTGGACCACTTCCATCGATTGTGTACGATTGGATGCCGGGCGGGACATTGTCCTCGTACCTCGAAGAAAACTCTGACAGTCTAAGTATTCTGCAAAGGTTTTACCTGGCAAGTCTTGTCCACTCTTTCTGTTTGAATACGTCTAATTTGGTAAAGTAGATCAAGCAAATAGCGGCTGGACTCTGTTACCGTGAGCACTACGGGATTTCACTTCTGACATACATTCTGACTCGAGTTTCTGAAAAATCAATGTAGTGCACTACAAGAATGTCATTCATGGCAATCTACATGGAGTGAGCCACCTTTATTTGTTACCAGTATAATTCTGTATCTTATTGCGATGCATTTAGAACAACGTCTTGATTGATGCCATGGGTGTTGCATATCTTGCAGATTACGATGTCAGTGCGGTACACCGAGGGCAACATATTCCCCCATCTGTGAGATGGGCAGCGCCAGAACGCTTCGACAGCCAAAACATGGTCACGCCCACGACCAAGAGTGATATTTACTCTCTTGGAAGTGTCACATATCAGGTCCGTTGCGCCTATGATATTATATGCATCGCTTGAAAATCTTGCAGATCCTCACTGGCCGCGAGCCCTATTATGAGGTCAGAAGCAAATCCAAGGTTTCCATCGAAATATTGAACGGAAATAAACCCTCGCGACCGCATGATATTCACATCGCGGATCATCACTGGTTATTCATGCAAAGATGCTGGTCCGTCCCAGAAAACCGCCCATCTGCCGCTGAAGTGCTACACTTTTCTCAGATAGAAGTAGAGCTCCTCATCACATAGGCCTATGTCAGGAACTCGCATCTACCTGCTCATCCCTTTACTTGTACTCTTGCACTCATCTCTAAATTCTTATTACTACGGACTTCATGGGGTCATGGCCACCGGCGTTGTTTCTCTGACAGCACGGGGCCCCATTATTCTGGATATCGTACATGTCACATTTTATCAGTTTTTCGTAGATATGTATGATTCGAGAATCTTTCGGCACCCATAACTATCCGTATCAATTTTATGCCTCCCTCTGTTCTTCGTTAATCGCGCAAAAAGCGAGCGCTCTGCTCGCTCTATATCTACACCAGGGTGAACAATGTTTCGAAAACATACAATCAGTACGAAATCCCAGTGAAAATCGACAAGAAACAGGCAGGTACGTGTCGATATAAATTGAAGAAAATAGAACCTGCTGATTTTATCGTCGTGTTTCGAGGTTTTTCAGAAAAAAACGGCACTTTTCAAGACGATACAAGATAGAAGTCGTAGGGAAATGTAGATCTTTAGATAGGTCACTCGTCCCAATGTATGCATTGAAAATGATTTGATTTGACCTAGAAAATGGTACCGATGTAGTAGTGCCGAAGTGATGAACCAAGGACTGTGATACGCGTGATGATGATGTGCTACTACAAGAACCGACTTGGTTGTCTACATGTCTGACTAAGCTCTGGAGATCTCCGCAGAGCTAGGTCTCTGGTTCATGCCTTGGGACCCCTAGTCCACCGATACAGATCCAATCCTATGGAATGAATTGTAAGTGTGTATCACGGTGAATTGCTGGTATCTGGGAGGTGTTACAATAATACTAGTTGGGCCGCTGCCCCCCCGTCCCGCCCCCTCGCGCCTTATCTACCATCTCGACGTCGATATTATCGTGCACTGGGATACCACCACTAGTCATTGCGCTCATTCCCGCTGTCCTTGCCTTGGAGGATCGAAAAAGAGCCAACCTGTAGAAGAATCCAGTTAGTACAGTGGCTCATAAACCTGGTGGGCATGATGGTACTCACCTGCGCCATGACCTTTCGTTTATATTCCTAGTGCATAGATCATAAGAGTGAATAAATACTAGCACGTACCTCCTGTGCTCATGGTATTGCTGCGCCCGCTCCTGCCCGGCATCCCTCCTTGTCACTGGCGCCGCTCACCTCAATAGGTCCAGCTGAGTTGGGCTATAAAAAAACCATTGTTATTGTGAGGATAGACTATGGATGCACTTGAAGAGCATGTCTGGTGAATAATGTATCACGGCTATGCGATGATCAGTGTGTTTTGTCTCATCCAAGTTCGCGTTGGACTAGGGGTCCCAAAGCATGAACCAGAGACCTAGCTCTGCGGAGATCTCCAGAGCTTAGTCAGACATGTAGACAACCAAGTCGGTTCTTGTAGTAGCACATCATCATCATGCTTATCAGAGTCCTTGGTTCATCACTTCGGCACTACTACATTGTGGTGAACAGATCAGATTTGAACAAACCCAGCTTAGCTTTAGCGTTTAGCAGTCGCAGCTTGCAGTCACAGCTTAGCCATTGGATTAGAAAATAGAGAACTTCGATCCAGAACATCGAACAAGCTATTTGCAGAAACAAGCAACCTTATTACATCGAAAGACAACCAAAACCAGAAATCATTATAGAAACAATAACAAAAAGGCTACATGTATCCTGTTTTTTTTTACATGAACACCTGATGCAAGATACTGAAAAGTTACTAAGACCTAGAACAGCAGCAGGGAAAGCAGTAACCAATGTGTGGTCAAAAACGAATTGGGAAGACTGGACAGCAGAGACAGCAGTCACATCCTCCCAACTAGATGCACCTGGCATGTCCTCACAAAACACAACAACTCCCTCCAGTGAGTCATTGCTTAGCAGCCTCAAGGACAACGAGAGAGACAATAATGTCCCATTCCCAGAACTAGAAGTCCTGGAGCTAGATTTAGAGATACCTTGGCCTGAATTCAAGCCCAGACCTTGTCACTTGAAAACAGGACCAGCAGCACCAGACTATGAACTCGACAAATTCTTCGAGCTCACATTCAACACACATCCAAAGGTCATCATGCCCATGGAAACTCCTCAAATATTTCATGGTGATGGATGGCCATCTGAAAACCCGGCCAACTTCTTGAAATTGTTCAATCGAGTGATGAGACAACAGTCTGTAACTGCAAATGGAGACAAACTAGAAGTGTTTGGAGATTATTTGGGCACCAGTTTGCAGGCAGAGGCTTGGTTCCAAGTGCTACCAACCATGAATAGAGCCACATGGATCGTGTTTGTCACAGCATTTGAAGCATGCTGGCCACCAGTTAAAATTGTGGAGAAGACAAAAGCAGAATATGAGAAAGAGTTGTTAGATCACAAGTTACAGCACATGGAGGTCAGGAAGAAGACAATGTTGTATGACTGCGAATGCTGGATGCACATAGCATGGGCCATGAAGACATTACAGCTGGCCACAAGTGTGGGGATTGCACAGAGCACCTCGATGATCTGGCAAGTGCGCAGCACATTGCCAGACATAGTCAAGGACTTGCTTAAGGATGAAGAATACATGAATTGGACAGAATTCGCAAAGGCAGTCACAGAACTTAAAGGGAGCAGATTAGTAGAGAAACAAGAACAACACAATCAACAAATGCAAGAATTAAATGCCCTGAAAACAGACCTTGCATGCATTTGTCAACGAACACTGATACCCAACCCCGTCGATGCACTTCAGAATCAACTCAATCAGATGTCAATCAACATGACAAACTCACCGATAATGCCTCCAAGCAATAACAGATACACAAGAGCACCTGCAAATCAAAATTGTCAGAGCACGCAGTCCACCTACAGCCGTCAGCCAAGCAACATCACAGCCCCACAACAGCCAGTAGTAGTAATGGACAAACTGAAAGCAAGCGTCAAATGCTTAATCGCGGCCTTTCCACACCATCCAGACACTCCTGCGGGTAATGCAGCCCACACAATGCAAATTGCACAATGGAATATGAAGTGGGGAGAGAACATGAGAGTTACACATGAAACAGGTTACCCACTGAAGCCAGGAATGGCGACCATATGTTCAGGGGAATTTTTTGCATGTGGAACGCATGGACATAACAGTTGCAGTTGCATACTCCCTCCAGGAGATGCAGCACGCTTAGAGAGGAAAGAAGCAGCATGGAGAGCAGTTTCAAGTCAAGTCCTAGGCACATTCAACCATTTCTCAGCAACTCCCATATCGCTCATCATGAATGACAGATACGAGACAATGTCAGCATGGATCGAAGAAGTATCAGAGCAGCAGGGAAAAGTGGATGGGTCAGCGTAAGACAGCAGAATACATCGACCCATAGTCTTAGGAAAGAACAAGCAGGTGTCAAGGTCCTCGCATGTGGAGAGGCAAGGTGTGAGGACAAACACAGGACCAATAGCCCCAAACTCTCAGCAGAACATGTAGCTACAAACAACTCATGTAGTAGTGAGCCCTGTGACACAATCAAAATCAGTGACCTATACTTGATTGGACATCAACAAGTCACGAAAACTCAGCTAGAGAATGGGGAAGCAGTCCCATTCATACACAGGATAGAATTGGATGGTCCCAAAGGAGAGGTGGTTAGGATTTGAGCATTATTCGATGATGGAGCCATGGTTAGCGCAATGTGCACATTGATCTTCCAAAAAGTCAAGCATCAACTACACAACTTGATGCAATCAAACAAACACCTACAAATGGCAGATGGAAGCATTGTCAAATCAATAGCGAAATGGACAGGAATAATCAAAATCAAAGGAATAAAGACACAAAGCACATTCAAAGTCTTTGACAGCGGAAAAAGTTGGGGCTTCTTGCTTGGAAAACCAACTCTACACGCATTTGCAGCAATTCATGATTATAAAACGGACACAATCACCATTTTAGACGAAGAAAAAACAACATTAGACAACCAAATAGCAGATCAGAGAATGATACAGCACGGAGATAGCATCAATTTGGCATTAGATGAGAAACAACAATGCATGAGAACCAAGACAGATGAATGAAGGTATGAAGACCCAAGGAACATCATGATGGGAGAGTGGAGACCAACAGTACGATATGCTGAATGGAAGGAAGCAAAGAGAAAGCAGTGGACACAAGAAGAAAGAGAGAAAAGATGAGAATGAGAAAACACAGTGGGGAGCGAGATGCCCCCCTCAAGGGAAGTCAAATCAGTCATTGGAACAGCATCACAACAAAGATTTGACATAGACAACCCTGCAGAACATTCAGCACACATCAATATGTTAATAGACCAAGAAATAGAAGAAGAAACAGATGGGCAATTGCTGGGAGAGATACCAGAACTACAACCAACAGGGAGCAATGTGTCAATATACACACAACAAATGGACCCATTCAAGCCAGCAAGAGTCAAGGAGATTCTGCACCAAGTAACAATAGGAACTGACTTGTCGAAGGATGAACAAGAAGAATTGAAGCAATTCATAATGGACAATGCAGACTGCTTCACATTAATGTTAAAGGAAGTAATGCCCATTCCAGGCACGGAACTAAACCTGAACATCCCAGAGAATGCGGCATTCAACCTTAGAATGCATCAAAGACCATTGATGCCAGAACAATCAAAATTCTATAATGAACAAGCTAATGAGATGCTAACAGCAGGAATTATAGAATGAGCACCTCCAGAGTTAATCTGATGCACAGCAACAACAGTCATTGCCCAGAGAGCACATGAGGTGGGTGGTCTATCATGGGATGAACTGAAACAGAGAGTCAACGATCAACATCAAGCAGCAGGAAGACCCCCAGCATTCGAATTACCTCCACAAGAAGTAGACACTCCAATAGCTGACAAAACCACAGATAAAGGCCCAAAGAAATAGCGCATATGCCAGAATTTTGCGCAGCTCAACAAGGTGACAGAAGTAGTGCCAATGCCACAAGGAGACATTCTGGCAAAACAACAGAGGTTAAGTGGACACAAGTATATATCAATATTT